GGTCAGATGATTGTCTGCCAGCATTAAGCAATTGGTAATTAAATATTTTAAAAAATTCCCTAAACAGTGTAAAATTTTGGAAAAACATTTTCACGAAAATTAATTGTCACGCACAACGAGTCTGTGTGGAAAATGTCAGCTCGATTGGATCACGGGAAGTGGGTTAAAAAACGACCGAAAGATTTGCACGGTCGTAAGCAAGCAAGCACGCAAGCACGCAAGCAAGCAAACTTAATATAAAGGATTTAATAAGTATAACCCGTAAAAACAAAGTTTTTCACTATAAATCCTTTATATGCGTGGCGGCTAGAGTCCTCTCGTCCTCTGGCTTGAGATGGCTGCCACATATGGGTCAGGTGATTGTCTGCCAGTATTAAGCAATTGGTAATTAAATATTTAATTTGTTTTCCCTAAACAGTGTAAAATTTTGGGAAAAAAATTTCACGAAAATTAATTGTCACGCACAACGAGTCTGTGTGGAAAATGTCAGCTCGATTGGATCACGGGAAGTGGGTTAAAAAACGACCGAAAGATTTGCACGGTCGTAAGCAAGCAAGCACGCAAGCAAGCAAGCAAGCGAACTTAATATAAAGGATTTTAAAAGAGTTTACTATTTGGTTCTTTCGGTAAAGTCACGTAAAAAGAGAAAATAATAAATAATAGCATACGACGTTTCGATTGCAACACAAGCAATCATCATCAGGTACAAATGAAAGTGAAAACAAAACCTAGTAAACTTAGAAATATAATGTAATACAACACAGAGAGTCGTCTAACATAACAGTCAGCACCCTACCTGGTTGATTACGTTCTTCCAAATATTGCTAAATTTAAGGGAGAGATTAAACACAGAACAAGAGACACATAGACAGACACGTAAGCAGAGAGAGATAACACAGAGACACAGAGAGAGACAAACACAGAGGCACACAGAGAAACGATGCCTCTTTGTCGAGGCCTTAAATAGAGAGAGAGGGGGGTGAGAAATTAACGAAAGCGCCAAATCAAGTTTAAAAAGTTTACTTTAGTGATTGTTTGCCTGTGGCCAATAATGTTAGTACCAAACTAGCCCACTCCATTACTTTATACGCGAACGTGCTCACAGCACGGCGCGCTAACCACTGCGCCACCGTTCCTCCCAAATACCCCCTCCCCCCCCTACACTCCCCTTCTCAACCCCTTCACGGTTCATAATGCCCCCTCACCCCCCACACAAACACAAACACACCACCCTCCCGCCACCACCCTCACCCACGGGGCATTTGACGGGAGACAATGATGAATTGTTAAACCCTAAAAATAGAGGCGTAGGACCAATTACGTTATTTATAATCGAGGGATAATAGCCGCGCACGTGCGCGCCTCGGGACATCTCGTGTTTACGAAGTGCTGTACCTTGCTTGGAGGGTTCTATTTTTAAGCTATCCACTGGCTCTTCCCCCGGAATCATCGTCTCCTTGTCCCCTTCCGTCCAGTCTCTTCACACGGAGTCGCGTGTTTCCCCCCCCCCCCCATTCCAAGGCGATTAGAGAGCGCTTTTATGTATTCCGACTGTGTTCGACGAAAAGTTTTGCTGGCTGGCTGGCTGGAGGGTCGGGACGGGACGGGACTGAGTGGTCACGTGCGGGATGCGAGGGCGCATTGAAATCAACTTGCTGCGATGTTTCAAACACGCGCGCAGCTCACCAACAGCAATGCTAAACCCATCACACAGATCGCCAATGGTGATGCTGAACTCACCACGCAGATCGCTAATGGTGATGCTGAACTCACCACGCAGATCGCCAATAATAAACTCACCACGTAGCTCACCAATGCCCTTGAAAGTGCGGGGGCCCCTAGCTACATATAGAAGCTACTACATATGTAGCTACTCGTGCTACTGGGATAGTCCGGCACTGGCAGTAATTCATATGTAAGCCGCAGTTGCTCTATGCTCGGGCAGGTGACGTGTGGCGGGGTGGATCGTGGGTCTCTACCACCTTTTCCTCGACGTCTGCCCAGCGATTTAAAGCTTTCGTGACTGCAGGATGGATTCATCTTCTTGGTTCTTTCGGTAAAGGCACGTAGAAGGGAAGTAATAAAATAATAAAAATAAATTGTGAGAATTATTATATTATGTTTTATTTTTATTATTGTATTACTTCCCTTCTACGTGACTTTACCGAAAGAACCAAGAAGAAGTCTGCCCAGCGCTGAACAATGAGCCTAATTACTCTCCCTAAAGGGGCCCTCGCTCTCGAGAACTCCCTCCCAGCGGAGAGGCCTTTCGGCCAGCAGAGGAGCGAGCTCGCAATTGCAGGCCTGCGCTATTTATAGAGAGTACAAAGGGGGGTCTCGGGTCGAGAATTTATTTGCGACGTGCCCTGCCCCCCCCCGAATCGGATCTCGGAAGCTCAGCAGGGGTTTGAGCCTGGAGATTGCTCAGATGTGGCGATAGCCACACACGCCAAACGGGTTGCTGGCACACGTGTTGAGAATCGTTTTATTTTAAGTAAAAATCTTCACTTTGACCGGAGGAGGAATCCGATGAGCGACGAAGCTCTTTTTCAACAGATGTCCACCGATGTTGCGGCAGCGCGTGGCGCTTCAGCAAAAGCAAATTGTTGTAATGTATTGTAAAGAACCAACAAGATGAATCCCTGCAGTCACGAAAGCTTTCACTCGAAAAATATTGTATTGTACTTCGTTTGCTCTCGCGTTCATGTTTACCCCCCCCCCCCCCTCTTATGCCTTCTCCAACCCGCACTGACCAGCGTGGTGAAGTATGGTCGGCGAACACTCCGACTCGCACGTCGTGGGGAGGCGCTCGTGTCGCCCAGCAGTCGATTGACAACAACGGATGGTTGTGATCGCCTACGCATACACGACTTTAATAGAATCGAGAGTTTAAACACATTCCTGCGGAGGGAGCTGGTAGGAACGTTGGGTTGCTCGGACAATGGCCAGGGTCAACGGCGGCGTGGTGTATTCCGCAAATATGCCCGACTGTGAGGGCGGGCACAAGCCGGCGTGAGTAGGTTAAACGTTGAGTTTTATAAGGGCACCACGGGGTGACCAGCCCCTCCCCACCCAGCCCCACCTCTCCCACCCCCCACCCAGCCCCACCCTCCCCACCCAGCCCCTCCCCACCCTCTCCACCCAGCCCCTCCCCACCATCCCCACCCAGCCCCTCCCCACCCTCCCCTCCCCACCCAGCCTCACCCTCCCCTCCCCACCCAGCCCCTCCCTGCACGACGGACGGACACAATAATCCCCTGTGGGCTGGTGTAACCAGGAGGTTCCTACCAGTATCGATCCCCTTGCCCGAGGCTGAGCTCCGGAAAATATCTCCTCAGCCTCCCCGCCGGAGGATTTGGGTTAGGCCCTGACAATTTAAAATATTGAGAAACAATCTGTTGTTTTGCCCGATCTAACAATACAACGGCAGGTGTGTAAAGATGTTCAAACAGCAAATAGAAACCTCTCGCAAGAAATCAAGTTCCTGCGTTGACCACACACACAATACTTGTCGTGAACATGCAAACACACAGGCTCTGATAATACAAGGTGCTTCAACATTTTGTTGTTAACGCTCATATGGGACTCGCGTTTTTAATGGAAGAAGAACGGATAATAACACCGGTCAACACACTTTTTCTGGCATGTATTCCAACGGGTTTAATGTAATGTTGGGGTGCTGATTTCAAATCTTTTCTATCACATCAGGTTTTTGAGATATCAAATATTGCATTTTCAATAAAAACTGCAGAAGAAAAATATTAAATAAATGTGGATATCTACATAAAATGATATTATAAACACACTATCCTACAAATACAGCACCATATTTGAACACTAAAGCAGTCACTGACTCGCAACAACTTGCAATCATAAGTGACAGAGTTAATTTCGGGTAAAATCAATCAAAATGGGGTATGCCGATAGCATAAAAATGAGATGTGATAGAGCAAATCTGGGACCAGATTTGGAATCGGCACCCTGAAATTAGTCTAGAACAGCTGCAAAAGTCCAGGCCAGAAAAAAATGTTTTTTTTTTGTTGACCAGTGTAATACACTGTAACATATTTTAAAAAAGTTTAATGTTAACAGCTTCAAAAAGTCAAAGAGTATCTCCAACGTGTTCGCCATCGTTGTCAACGCGCGCCTGGAATCATCTCCAGGTGGTCTCCAGAGACCCGGAGACGCATTTATTGTGGTGTTGTTGCAAATTCTCCAAAGTGTTAACATTTTTCGAAGCACCCTGGATATGCATTGTCTTCGAAACTGCTTGCCCTAGACCAGATACAGCATTCTTCAGTTTTAAAGACACTGCATATATTGTCAGAGCCTGTTTGTCTGCATGTTCACTACAAGTACGTGTGTGGTTTATATTGGTAGGAACCTCCTGGTTACACCAGCCCACAGGGGATTATTGTATCCGTCGTGCAGGGAGGGGCTGGGTGGGGAGGGAGGGGCTGGGTGGCGAGGGGAGGGTGGGGAGGGGCTGGGTGGGGAGGGTGGGGCTGGGTGGGGAGGGGACGGTGGGGAGGGGCTGGGTGGGGAGGGGCTGGGTGGGGAGGGGCTGGGTGGGGGGTGGGAGGGGTGGGGCTGGGTGGGGGGTGGGAGGGGTGGGGCTTGGGTGGGGAGGGGCTGGTCACCCCGTGGTGCCCTTATAAAACTCAACGTTTAACCTACTCACGCCGGCTTGTGCCCGCCCTCACAGTCGGGCATATTTGCGGAATACACCACGCCGCCGTTGACCCTGGCCATTGACCGAGCAACCCAACGTTCCTACCAGCTCCCTCCGCAGGAATGTGTTACGTAACTTTATTCCTTTCAAAAGGTTTCTATTTGGTGTTTGAACATCTTGACACCTGCTATTGTATTGCCAGAAAGGGTCAAACGTATTCTTACTTATCATACTTGGATACTGGCAAAAAAAGGTGCCATGTTAATTGTAAACATTGTAATGAGAAATGTAGCAATGATTTTAATTGAATGGAAGGAAAGTGCGAACATTCATTTTGGGGAGAGTATTTATTTGCAATGAAATCACGGACACCGTCACCACCACCACCATCATCATCATGATAGTTACATTTCACTGATCACACTTCACCGAATGCGCGATGCCTTATTCACCTCTTACAGAGAGAGAGACACCAATTCGCCGCGTTAAATACGATAAATAATGGAATAATAAATACACACGTACCTACATAAATTATATTCAGATATAAGTTAAAGATAAGAGATCACGACGCTTCGATCGCAACAACAAGCGAATCGTCTTCAGGTGAAATAAACAGACTGCTGTGGACGAGGCCTTACGTAGACCGATTTTTTTTATTTTCTATCTAAGTTACTTTACCGAGAGAAGCAAAGAGTATGGATTCCTGCAGTCACGAAAGCCTCAACTCAAAATATAACTTAAAGGGTGTAGCATTGTTTATTTTGTACGCGAAATGCTATTTTGTAAAAAAAAAAAGTTAAAAAACCACCTAACCGCTCACGCAATCATGTTATATACAATATCACATAATGGGGGGAGTGGTGGCACAGCGGTTAGCGCCACTGTACTATCAAACCCGGACCGACCGCCTGAGTTCGATTCCCAGGCCACGGCTCACGCCGGTGGCGACTGAGATCTGAACCAAGTCCTGCGCATCACCAACCACCCCCAACCACCATTGACCGGCGTGGGGAAGTATGGTCAAACAACCACCACCACCCGCACGGCGTGGAGAGGGAGGACTTGGTCCGGCAGTGGATTATTATAAAAAGCAATTTAAATTAGGAACAACAGAACGTTAGACTTGTACGTTTTAAAAAAAGCAATCGGCATTGTTACACGATCTTAACCATAAGCCGCACGAAAACGTAACGCATTATATACTAAAATACATTAACTAATAACCAACGATCGTCACGCCTGCCTGCGTAAACGATGAACGGGGTAGCAAACGCGTGTCCGTTGATTCGTCCTCATGGGCGAAAAATGCTGGAAATTCCACGTTCTTATGGCCGGACCAAGTTTGCTCTTTCAGCCATGACGCGCAACCAAACGGCGACACTTGCAAACGCAATCGACGATACGCGCACGGAACCGCTTACTCACGACCCACACGCCGCGCTTTCGCTAAACCGCGATACGAGTTGCAGGCACATCAGCCGCTACTTAAAATGCTCCAACGTGGAGCGTACGACGCAAGGCAATGCGCGCGCGTGTGTTTAGATATAAACACGCACGCGCACGCACGAATTTAAACGGCATTTCTAATAATCATAATAATCAACATCATCATCATCGCGAAACAAACGCGCCCTATGACACCCGGTGGTACGCACGGTTCGGCTACGTACGGTGCGAAAGAAGTTCAACCATAGTACGCATTGCGTACTACTACAACAACAAACAACAACAACAAAAACAACCAACGGGGCAGTGTTATTTACAACAATAACAAACCTGCTTGCCCGCGCGTGGTTCGGTAGGACAATATCCCACCCCACCCACGTTACACGATTCTCTCAACTCCAAAGAGTTGGTGACATTTAAGCTCAAAACAGCTTTTACTTCGGATTTATTCGTGACAACGCGACGCACGCAACCTCCCCCCTTGCGCGAGGAGGCCAGCGTCGCTCGCCACCTAGCAGATGCTGCAGCTGTTCGCCTTCTTGATGCCGGGAGGCCGAGCTTCCTCGACCTTCGGAAAGGTCTCCGCTCGCTTCGGCCGCTCCTTGCTGCGTTGCTGCTGCTGCTGCTGTTGCCGCTTCGCCTGGTTGCGGAACTGCGCACGCCTCGCCTCGGCCGAGAGGCGGACGTCGCCACCGGGACCCTTGACCATCCCCACGAGCTCCTGGAAAAGCTCCATGACGCCGCCGCCGTCTTTGGCGGACGCCTCTACGTAGCGGTGGCCCCAATCGAGCTCCGTCACGCATGCGGCCTCCTCCTTGGCCACGGCACGGGTCGAGGTCGTCTCGCGGCTGTCGGACTTGCAGCCTACGACCAGGATACGTGGCGCAGCGCGCGGGAGCTCCCCAGCATCTCCGCCTTCTTCTCCTCCCTCGTGGCCGTTCGCCAGCCGCTCGTCGCGGAGCGTGGCTCTCTCCACGAGGATCTCGTCGCGGATTCGGGTCACCTCCTCGAACGAGTCGGGGTCGTCGACGGAGAAGGCGAGCACGAAGGCGTCGCCGCTACGCACCGCGAGACGGCGCATGGCCGGGAACGAATAACTTCCCGCGGTGTCGAGAAGTTCCAGGATGAACTCTACATCGCCTTTTCTTCCTCCTCCTGCTGCTGCTGCTGCTGCTGCGTCGGTTCCACAGTTGAAGCGGTGGAGCTCCTCCACCGTGGGCTTGTAGACGGGGTCGAAGGAGTCGCTGAGAAAACGGCGGATCAGCGAGGATTTCCCCGTGCCGGCTGCTCCGAAGAACACCACGCGGGCTCTCTGGGCGTGCTGCTGCTGCTCCTGCTCGCGATGGCTCAGCTGTTGTTTCATGGCTTTTGGTGGCTTTTTTTTCCTCCTCCCGGAGAAAACAAAAAAAACCTGCGCGCGCCGGATCGGGTTAAGAGCAGAGATCGAGTTGTTATTAATTGCTTGTCGTTGAGCTGAGCGGTTTAATCGGGTCACTTCCCGAAACGTCGTAAATTAGATTTTGTAGTATTTGTAAAAAAAAAATGCGGTTAAGGCAGTCATTAGATCTGTAAATGCCGAGAAATCTTATCGTTGTTACGGAAAATCAGGGTAGTTTATAATTTCGATTGAAAGCTTTCGTGACTGCAGGAATCCATATTTTTGGGGTATTTCTGGGAAGTCACGTAGATAGGTTCAAAGAAAATAACAAAAAATAACAAAAAAAACGACGACGTTTCGATCGCAACACAAGCGGTTGTCATCAGGAAGAGGATGATGAACGCTTGTGTTGCGATCGAAACGTCGTAGGTTTTTCTCATTTTCTATCTACGTGACTTTACCGAAAGACCCCAAAAAATATGATTATGATGAGGATGATGAGGATGATGAGATTGATGATGATGGAACACGCCCCGGGAGAGGAGGACATTCGCCCAGGCAGATGTCCACACATCACGACCAGGTGCTCATTAAGGCCGAGTCGACCTAAGGGAAGCCCCAGGACCGGTTCAAATAATCGTCACTGGTGTTGGCCATGAGCGGGAATCGAACCCGGGTCGTCGGTTTCATAGCGCAGCGCGCTAACCGCTACACTACCGCTCCCCTACACACACGCACACGCACACACGCACACATGCACACACGCAGTACGTTGTAGTAGTAGCTTACCGGCTTGGCTGGCGAGACGAGAGAAAGTTTTGCGAGCTTCTATTTGCGCGTGCGGTGTGTGCGGTGCGGTGCGCGCGCGTGCAGAGGAACGAGCCGACGCGTGCGTGGATGAGACAAAGGCAAAAGTGCCCCGTGCAGCCTTCGCAGAAACCGCGCCGGGAGGGAGCAACGAACGAACGAACGACTCCTCGTGGACACGCGGAGACGGAGGGAGGGCGAACAGTGGTGCCGCGTCTCCGCCGTGCCCCGCTTATAAAGAGACACCGCGCCGTGAGCAGTAGCAGCAGCAGCCAATGATAGAGGTAGGGGAGAGGCGGCCTGGGGGGGGTGGGAGGGGTGGGGGCGGGAGGGGTGGTGGGTGGGTGGTGGGTTGGTGGGTGCAGCGGAAAGGGAGGGAGGGGGGGAGAAAAGCAGACAAAGAGGACGATGGGAGGTGAGAGGGAGGGACGGGTGGGGGGGATGAAGTGGGAGGGGGATGATGAGGTGGGGCGAGGATGATGAGGTGGGGGAGAGAGCCGCGAGCTGTACAGAAGGAGGGGGTGGGTGGGTGGGGGGGGAGAGTGCGGCGGGGTGGGAGGGAGGGGAGAATTGGGTGTAGGCAGTCAAAGAGGACGGTGAGAGGTGAGAGGGAGGGAGGGAGGAGGATGATGATGATGAGGTTTGTTGGAGAGTCGCGATCTGCGCAGGAGGGGTTGGCGGTATGCAGGGAGTGGCCTCTTGCCTCGCGGGCAGGTAGGCAAATGAGATAAATGTGTCGAGACATTGGAACGCGTCCGAGAAATGGTGGGAGGGCGGAGATGGAGCGACACATCCCGGGGGTGTGCAGGTGCGCAGGTGCATCATTGCATTGCCAGGATCGCGAGGCGCGTACGTTGAATTTTTTTCGCACCGTACGTAGCCAACCGTGATAATCGGAGGAGCGGGATGGGGGGGGGGGGGTAGCAAGCTAAGGTGGAGCAGATGGTGGCAGTGTCTTGGAGAAAAAAAATCATCATCCAGCAATGGATTGACAGTGGTTGGTGATGATGATGACATAATTTTGTCCGCATTCTATGACGTGCTGGAAAGTAATGCGCGCTCCTCAACGTGCACCCCGGTGTCATGATGACAGCAGTCACACAAATCCAGTCACACAAAGGACAAAGATCCCCCCATCCGTATAGCCTCAACAGACTGTCGGGGCAAGTGTTGTCAGCGAGTAACACCTATGAAGGCCGGAACGGCACACGAGGGGGTGGGTGGCCCAGCGCCACACCCGGCCGCCTTTGTCTCCCCCAGTGGCGATGTCTACACACCGCACACCAGGTACTCATTTGAGTCTGAGTCGACCTAGGGGAGGCCCGGGACCGGCTCAGATAATCGTCACCGGCGTTGGCCGTGAGCAGGAATCGAACTCGGGTCGCCGGGTTCGTAGCGCCCGCATAGGTGCTACTCGCTAAGAGCACTTGCCCCTACAGTCTGTTAAGGCTACACGGGGGATCTTTGTCTTTGTTGTGAGTGTGTCGCCACACGACTGGGCGAAGAGATTTTCCATTGTACCAGGTCAGGCCCCACTGAGCTAAGTGAGAGCCCAACGGAGTGGGCTTATCACGTGGGCATTTCATAGCGGCAGGCAAACACTCTAAACGCGTGGCGATGTCGATTCCAAAACGTGGAGGGGAAAAGACCCGGAGGACCCCGGAGAAAAATCCACGCGACCACGGGGAGAGAGAGAGAGAGACGCAAACTCCAAATATACAGCAGCAGCAACAGGCGTCAAAGGGTTCGGGCTCGAACCGACGACCTCCTGCATAGCGGGCGATGTGGTTCACATCTCGCTACCGTGACGCCCCAGATCTTGTAGCCGACTCTGCTGGCGAGGGTGGGAAGCAGAGGTCGCAACCGGGTACCCGATACCCGTACCCTACCCGATACCCGGCTACCCGTACCCGACCGGGTACGGGTACCAGTTTGCGACCCTGGTGCGGCCAGGTACGGGTAGGCCGTGAGTCACTGGTGAGTAACTGTTTGTCACTCATTTCCCAACGTTTTGTCTCTTCTCACAATTCAAGTTCCTAGAATCAACCCACCCGCGCCTGCAACATGGCTTCATCCCAGAGGTCGCAATCAGGTACCCGATACCCGTACCCTACCCGTACCCGGCCGGGTACGGGTAGGGTACGGGTACGGCCGGGTGCGGGTACCCGTTTGCGACCCTGGTGCGGCCGGGTACGGGTAAGGAATGAAAACCCGTTTGCGACCTCTGGTGGGAAGCCCGTGGGAGGATGGGTGACTGGGTCGTCGGGGCCATGCGGGGAGGAGGAGGAGGGGGAGGATTAACGTCACGAATTTAGCGGCGGTCGATGGATGCGTCCAGCGAGTTTGGTGACGCGAATGGAATTCGAAAAAATCGCCATCGACGCGTCCAATGCTGAAATTGTGTGCGCGTGCATGCGGCACGCACAGGATGTGGGGAGCGGTGGCGCAGCGGTTAGCGCGCTTGCGCTGCAAACGCCGGGCGACCCGATCTTCCATTCCCATTCGTGGCCAACGCCAGTGGCGATTATCTGAATCGGGCATGGGCCTCCCCTAGGTCGACTCAGCCAACAAATGAGTACCTGGTGCGATGTGTGAACATCGCCGCTGGGAAGACAAAGGCGGCCGGGTGTGGTGTTGGACACCCGCACCCTCGTGTGCCGTGTCGGCCTTTATAGGTGCTACTCGCTAACAGCACTTGCCCCTACAGTCTGTTAAGGCTACACGGGGGATCCTTGTACAGGATGTGAGCGGCGGGACAGCGGTTAGCACGCTGCGTTACGAACGCGGGGGGTAGCACGAGTTGGCTAGGAGATGTTGACTACCTCGCCAGGTGTGCAGGAAGTCGTGGGTTCGATCCCGACCCTGGTACTTGCTGTATATTTGGAGTTTGCGTGTCTCTCTCTCACCATCATCACGGTGGCTATGAGATGTTAACTACCTCGCCAGGTGTGCAGGAGGTCGTGGGTTCGATCCCGACCCTGATGCCTGCTGTATATTTGGAGTTTGTCTCTCTCTCTCTCATCATCATCACGGTGGCTATGAGATGTTAACTACCTCGCCTAGTGTGCAGGAGGTCGTGGGTTCGATCCCGACCCTGATGCCTGCTGCTGTATATTTTGAGTTTGCGTCTCTCTCTCTCTCTCTTTCGCCCGTAGTTGAGTGGATTTTTCTCCAAGTCCTCCATTTCGTCCCTGCACATTTAGAAACATTGCGTTCATTTATATTTGGCTGCTATACATTTCCACGTGATGATAAGCGACTTCGTTGGGCTTTCATTTGTGGCCAGGTCGCTTCTGAAAGAGAGCTCCGTAGCTCAGTGGTGAGCCTTGCCTGGTTAAATAAAACAATATAGATAGTGATTTAAAGCTTTCGTAACTGCAGGGATTCATATTCTTGGTTCTTTCGGTAAAGTCACGTAGAAGGGAAATAATAAAATAATATAAATATTAAACAATAAAACATGTCTTGCTGTGGATTTCACACCTGATGGTGATTGCTTGTGTTGCAGTCGAAACGTCGTGATAATTTTTATTGTTTTTATATTTATATTATTTTAAAATAATATAAATATAAAACAAAGTCGAAACGTCGTGAGAATTTTTATTGTTTTATATTTATATTATTTTATTATTTCCCTTCTACGTGACTTTTCCGAAAGAACCAAGAATTTAAAATACATAGTTTTTCGTAGTTTTACTTTATAGATTCCCGGCCACGGATAACATGGACAGCGAGTGATTTCAGAACCGCTGTTACCCACGTGTTGTACTCTACTACGACTGTACTTCTATGCTCCCCACGCCTCTTGCTGCCCGCCAACGCCCGTGTTGATCCACGTGTTGAGTTTGCTCGTGAGGTGGTTTACCAACGAGGTGGCTATTAACGACGTGCTTGCAAATGTCTTCGTTATTAAACGACGCGCTTGCAAATGTCTTTGACATTTCGAATCCAGCACCTCGGACCGACAGCCAGGTGACAGTGGCTTGAAAAACCATTATTGCCGGAGATGACGTCAATGCAGATGGGCGTGGCTTATTATGCAAAACGATGTTTCATTGACCCCCCCCCCCCACTCTCCCTATTCACCCAATGAGCGGTGAGATCACAGCTTAAGCATTTTCTTATAGAATTAATTAATTCGACGTTCAACCCATCCCCTAATCCCCCATCCTGAATCCCAAACTTCAATGTTACTGCGACTCAATCCGGTGGCAATGGGTTAAGGGCTGTCCATAAATGACGTCACGCGATTTTGGACGATTTTAAAAAGTCAGACCCCCCCCTAAAATATGACGTCACAAACTTCTGCCCCCCCCCAAAAAAAAAACATATGCTTCAAATCGCTTAAAACTATTATCATTGTAGTGCGTATTTAATGTGGCGCTGCACTCTGATGTTGTAGGAGAAAACATTTATTAAAAAGTCCATTTAATTAAGTGGAACGTGTTGTCTATATTTAGTTAAAGTTGCACATTTTAATGTGACGTCACATTTCTCAACCCCCCCCCCCCTCGTCACACATCGTCACAAATGTCTGATCCCCCCCCCCTAGGTGCGTGACGTCATTTATGGACGGCCCCTTATCAGTCCAGCCATTCTTGCCATCCACAATGTGTTCCCTGTACGGGTTTACTGTGTGGTCTGCAAGCAGTGGTTCTTAGACCTTTACTGCAGCCTTTGCACCCCTTTTTGGCTCTCAATCGTTCAAAAAAAACGTGCAATGCTAATACATGCGTAGGGCTTGATGAAACAAAGTGAGCTGTAACTTCACGTGCCCGTGGCTTCGACGATTTACCTTCTAACTACAAAATCTGTCCGTGTGTCGCGCACCCCACAAAGGGCATCTCGCACGCCCATGGGGTAGTGCCGGACGAAGCTAGTGCGGGCCCTGTAGCATATGTTGTTATAAAGGGGTCCTAAATAAAAAAAAAACACAAATATAAAAACACATAAATGTTTACTTGCATAGTAAAGTAATTGTAATTTTTTCATTTGCTATACATCCAAATAATACGACAAATCGCTAACATTAAACACCCAGTCGTTCAAAAAAGTTGAAGGCGGTATAGTACTATAGTAATAGAGCAAGTGCCGAATCACTGAGCCGGAATTGATAGCTTGAAAGCGTTTAGCGCGGGGCCCTTGAAAGTGCGGGTCCCATAGAATATGTAGCTACTTTTGCTACTAAAATAATCCGGCACTGCCATGGGGTGCGTGCAC